GGGTATTATCGGAATCGTAGAAACATGACTCTAGACTTCTTTTTTTACATATATAAGGGCTCCGCCACCCTTACTCTGCCGCAACGATAGATTGCAATGCTCAGTGATTGTGCTGGGGTCGCATATGTTTCTGTGATGAGTGTGATGTCTCTGTTGTAGTTAAATAAGAAATCCTGCAATTCCCCGATTTTTGATGTTGAGTTCTGCGCATTCCAATTTAAGATAGTCACAGGGGTCACTTTGGTAAGAGAACCATGATCCATAGTTGTTTACATTTTCGGGCCTCACTGTATTTAGCGCTGTAGCCATGTTTGTTGATTGGTGTAGTAGGGCGATTAGGTCAGCAACATTTTTCATAACTTGCTGGAAGTCCGTAACCGGCTTTTGTATTTTTCCCGCAATAATGTCAGTTTTTGCAACCTGAGCGTGCGATTTATTGATGGTAACTCTCTCCTCAAATTTGGGAGTGTTTGGTTTCTGTTTGGGGTATGCCTCGCACCATTTCCAATTATTGATATGTTTTCCGAAGTAATTAAAGCATGTGGGTTCAGATTCTTTAGGTTACGCGCAATCCTGGCTTTCGTCATCTCCAGAGCATTTGCAACAGCGAGGCGGGTGGTGACACGCCGCCTGCGCATCATGAAATCGCTGGCACCTGAAACATTGAGTCCGCCCTCACCGACCACGGTACCTTTCAGCTTTTATGTGTATATGTGTATATACATAAAGAATTTTAGATGATAAATTTCTGAATTTCTTGGGGTCTTATGTAGAATAACCAAGAATACGGCCATCATAACCCTATCGGGATCTCTGCCCTTCGTAAGCTGTTCCACTTTAATAGCATCAAAGTCTATTTCCCTGAGTTTTTCTTGTATGTCAACAGGGTCAGCATCTATGGGCAGGCTGCGTATCACCACCTTAAAATTTTCCTCCTCAGGGAGAAGGAAAGAGTGATATGACAACTCGTGAGAATCAAATAGCATCGTCATCTTTCTGAAGGTGTCAGAATTCTTGGTGCGAATTTCGAAGTTTCCTTCGCCTTTCTTTTTTGCAGTGAAGTCTATAAGTCATTCTTTTTCAAACCATTTCAGTAAAGATTTTCCAACTGTATTCGCAGACTGATACAAATTAGTGGCATCTCAGCCAGCCGATCTGGGAATGTAAACTGCCTTTCTCTCCAGGTATTACCAGCATCTGCAGCTTGAGCATCAATGATTGGCCCATTTGGGCACGTGATCTCAATTGCACTTCTGATTGGCCGCACCCGGTTTTCGGTCTGTGACGTACTAACTGCCGGCTTCTCGGTTGGGTAGATAGATGACGCCATCTAAGCATGGCTGCTGGCTTCTACCTCGTTGGAGATTTTAGTGTTAACTACATCAGGTGTTGGAAGATTCTTGAGCTTTTTAGCGTTTCTCGTCTTCTGCTTCCGTTATAATTTCATAGAACCACTAAATTTAGTACTATGAGTGAAGTTATTCAGTTCAGGGGTGCTGTCATCATCCGGCAGGTCCGTAAGTCCTTGGAATCTATTCTGTATCTCAGTGGTCGCGATGTCATGGCTAGCCGGCCTCTTAACGCTCATACTGGGAGTTTTCCGGTCTGGAATCGTCTCGATAAGAGTTTCTAGACAGTTCAACGCTGGTTTCCTGTGCATCGCTGGGTAGAACAGTGGTAAAAAGTCCGGTTATCCTCCTTAGGAATGTGTAGTCAAACAAGTCATCTCCAGCAAGCTCCGAGTGCTAGGCAGCAGCTTCCAGATCTCGAAATTGAGTAAGAATAAGTTTGACAATGGACATAATGCCAGAGTCAAATAAACCAAAATCAAATTTGATCAGCTAGGAAAAACAAAAATCTAACGATGTAGAAACTCCCCTCTTAGAGTGATTTCGAAATGCCAAGAACAAGAACGCCTCAATGTCGCGAGATATAACAGAGTTTGTCTGTATCTTTGGATGGCTCACAAAATGGAAAAAAAGAAGTAATATCATTTTCTGAAAATGACATGGAAAGAAACATGATGCAGACTCTAATGAAGCCGTTAATTGGGTAGAAAAGAATTTAACCAACTTTTGCAAGAATATAAACAGCATCAAATTTTTAACACTGATGAGACTGGTCTTCATTATCGAGCCCTACCTCAGCACCCTTTAATGTTTAAAAGTGAGTCGTCAGCTGACTAAAAATTTTAAACAAAGTGTTATTGTTACTGTGTTATTAACGCGTAATATGGGAAGAACAGTTAAAAAGATTCCATTAGTCATTGGTGCTAGCAAAACACCATCATTGTCCAGGGCTTAATTTCTACACCTAGAAGTGCTGAAGGCCGTGATGAAAGAAGAAATATTAATAAATAACTAATATTTAAAGTTAAAATTGAATAAAATATTAATAAATTATCAAATCAGTGATAAATAGTTAAATAATAAAATATCGGACCTTATCTTATTCAGGGCTATGGTGGTGATTACAATTTTACTCAAAAATTAATAAATAGCTCGTATAGACTCTGGCGGTATTTCAGCCTGGAATACATTGTATAATCCACTATCAAGAGATGACAGAAATACATAGATAACATGATATATAGACAGATGGGATAGAAACAAGGGATGATAGAAAAGACACTTCTTTTTCCAACATACATATGAAAAAAAGGTAAAACCGTTGAAGCATCGCCAATGAAAACAGGGAGAATACTAGAAAGAATATGAGAGTGTGGACGGAACTTTTAACGGAGAAGTGTATCACCGAAAACAAAGAGACGAGACTAATTCAGAAGTCAAAAAACAAAAATCAGCGTTATATTTACAAAATTTTCACAGGACTAGTTTCGATGGTTTTACCGAACCACCATCCTCAGCTGCAAAACCGCAAATGAACAAGATAGGAAAAAATGTTATCCTAAACATTCAAGTGACAATTTTCTTCCCCCTATACTTGTTTACTGCTCGATCACAATGAAAGGGAAATAATAGGTTACCATCGTTAATTATTCTTAGTGCAAATTGAAATAAATTTTTGAATTTCTCAGTAAATTTCATAAAAAAACAACAAATCGTATAAAATATATATCTCAACAAACTGCAAGAAATTTAATATTTAGGCATAATTTGAATCCTAGAATCGAACTATGAAAGAAAAAATGGTACGCCCTTTCAGAAAAAGTCCAATTTTGTGTCAAAGATTGACATGTCACCTTCTTACCACCGACTGGAAGTTCTTTCCTTGAATGTAATGTAGGAATAGAAATCAAATGTAAGACTAGAAATCAATTCAATTAAAAAAATTATTACTAAACATTTCTTAAAAGAAATATTAGATATGCACATATGAACTGATTTTATAATATTAATTCTCATAATTTCCTTTCTAGAAATTATCTACTGCCTGTTTAATAATATATTGGATATAATTTGCAAGCTATATATAAATCTAATATATATATCCGATATCGCGCCTTCGAGACATAAAAAAAAACTCAAGCTCAACTTCGTCAATCGGCCCAGCAGAACATGAGATATAGGGCCTCTTTTCTTTGTGCAGAGTGTACATGAGTTATGATCATTATATAAGAATCATATGACAGGGATTAATTTTGAAATGATGCAGCTCAGAGATTTATTATAAGCACGTTTCTATTTTTAGCATAGAAAGACGCCATATTAAATAGAAGGCTGTTAGAGATTAAAATTGGGATTTTATTTTATAAATGCTTTATTGCATATATATATATATATAAAGTCTGGATTAGACAGCGTTTCATTTCACCTCAACTTCGGAAAAGGAAAGGAATTATTTGATGTTTCTAGAAGTCATATTGATGTAATAAATCATTTTGATGAGTCAGCCTTGAAAAATGGAAATTGTAGACTGTTCTTGAAATCCAGCAGCAAGTGCACTTTTCATTGAAGGTTTGAAACCAGGATCATTTTGAGCTATCAACAAGTGGAAGCTAATCGGGACTAAGAAATTTTAAACGGAATGATGGACTCAAAATATTCAAATAAGCAGTTCATTTATATCCTTATGGGTACTGATCTCTGTATTTGCCAACTTATTCTCGTGAACACCTTCCATGATCACAAGTTCTTGCAGCATATAAATTATCAATTTTAAGTCACTAAAGACTTGATTGAATGGTTAGATGAATCCTGCTTTTGTTCTTAAGTGTAGATGAATAAGCTAGAGCGTAAAACTGTTTCAGAATGTTTTACACAAATGCAATATGAAATGCAGTCAAGCTGATAAAGTATAAAGAGTCTAGGTAAAAATTTGATGACAAACTGAGCAAAACTCATGATTTCTATGAAATAGAGTCTGAGAAACATACCTCTACCTAAATGTTACAGCTAACAAAGTACAGCGGTTTAGCCATTAAAATATGCAATAAAAGTATTAGGGTTTAAAATTAAAATACACATGTTATTCACAAAAGGCAACTCCAATCGTAATCAGTTTACAAGGGACCAAATTAAACATAAATTATTAACTTACCTAAAATCTGATCACAACTTAAAAAATTAATATCATATTGATAACAACATATTAACATTTTAACTACTTACTTATCCCAAACTCATTGTTATCAAAGTGAAAAGCAAAATTCTGCACTACTTATAAATATAACTAACAAAATAATCAGGTAAAAATCGAACAGAAGCAATAACAAAATAAATAAAACTGGATCAATTTGTCATTGTGCAGGCAATTTTTAACAAGAAATATGCTTAAAAAATGCTTATAAAAATTGACACAAATATTTGAAATATGAAAAATTGCATATTAATTCCTTTTCAGTGACCAAAAATTCAGTCTTGTATGTTCAGTTTGTAATTATATAATAAATTTCGTAATATCAGTTTGAAATAGTTTATTAATATCCACAAGCAATCTGAGAATTTACTTAAATTTCTACATCACTTATTTTTGCAAACATATTTCCTGAAAATCTGAATTAACTTGTAACGTAATTAATTATACATTAAAAGTCTCACCTGTTTAACCTTTGAAAGCTCTCCTGCAAGAGTAGATGACTGACTTTTTACTTGTTCAGTATTGGAACTGATATGTACATGTGTGGCTACATTTTTGGAAGGTTTACCACTGGATAAGCCAACTAAAAATAGAAACTTTATATCATTATAATGCAAAGACAAAAAATTTCAGTTTATGGGCTCAAAATCTGTACTTTTCTTACAATAAACTCGATAGACATTTTTAGAAGTAAAATTGAGTTACAGAAGTATGTCTTTCTTCTTTTCTGAAACTAAGATATAATACTGCAGATAACACATATTGAATAGATAAAAAATCTTACAAATAAAAGTTCTATTAGCGTTTTAGACAGATATAAGATTTTTAACGAAATAGTATTTAAGGCAAAAAGCAGCTTTTTTGCCAGAAAAATCAATTCAACTATTATTTAAATATAATTGTTGAAGTTACAAATTAAAACAGCATTAGTTAATTAGAACTTGAGTCATATATTCACCTATTAATAAAATACAAATGCTATTGCAAAATCTTGAAGTAAATTTTAATCTCTGTATGGAAAGAAACATGTTAACATATACTGTAAAATTAGGCAAAAAAATTATCTTAGATAAACACAGATTTTTATATAAAACTTATTTTTAAGGGCAAATGCCTTTCCTTCAGGGGCAAATTACCCTCGTCTGGCTCTGAATCCCGCCTGTAAATAGAGGAATATGTCTCAGTCACTTTTGAAATCGAATGGATTTTATAAAAAATTGTCACCAGTCACCAAAATAGTATTTGTGGTAATTTCTGAAATTTTAATTTACTTCATTTTACTGACATGTAAGTTCAAATTTTTATATAACCTTACTAATATTTTACCTGTTCTACATAGCCTCAGATTTTAATGATGAATTACATTTACGCCAAAAAAGTTAGTTGCAGGCTTATCAAATTCTGCCTCCTCATTAATTTTTTTGTGGTGTCTAAAATCAAAATTTGAACATCTTTGTGATAATACAAAAGTAAATAATAAAACACCCCTTTAACCGAATAAATATATTAAAATGGGTTTATATAAACAGGGTGTTCCCAAAATGTATACACACTTCAAAAAATTATGCTGTTAGTACAGTATTTCTTAACAAAGTGTTTCATTTTCAAATCGAAGGTAACCTACAGAAATGCATTTTTTTTTCAGTAGTTATTTTTAAACTGTTCTAATGGAAGCATTGCAAATAATCCAGAGAAATGGAACAGCATATCTAAAAAATAATGAGTGCTATTAATGTCGCTGCTTCAGCAAACCTAAGAGATTTTTTTTAAGCCAAGGAATGGAATAACAATATTAGTGATCTGGACTTCGCTGCTAAAGAAGCTAAATTTTTTTGCCACACTGCTAGACACACACTTAGTTTCAAAACATCAAATTGCACATCTAAAGTGGCTAAAAAGTTATATGACTCAAAATGTTCATCTGCTAGAACCAAAACTGAGGCAATTATTGTTAATGTTATTCTGCCATTTATATTTGATAAAGTGTTGCATTCTTTTGAAAGCATTAACTCTGTAACAGTAATGATGGATAACTCAAACAGAAGAGAAGTAATACTTGTTCCGATAGTTGTAAGATGTATTAGTCTGGAAGAGGGAATTACAGTTAAACTTTTAAATTTCGATGAAGTGTCAGGTGACATTGCTACAATTTCGAATTGGTATCTTCTGCAGTGTGTGAAAACACACAAAGTTGGTTTGTTATACTGCTGATAACACTAACAGTAATTTTGGCAGAGCGAAGAGAAAGGGAATGAAAATGTGTTCAGAAAAGTTCAAAGGGATTTACACAGACTTGTTTTAGGACTTAGTTTTTCAACCCACATTATACAAAATTCTGTATAAACAGCATGTAATTCTCTACCCCTGGTCACAAAAGTTACTGCTAAAAAAAAACTGTATATAAAGTTACACATTATATACAGTAAAAGCAACGAAACTGAAGGAATTCTGTGAATTTGTGGAAGCAGATTACAAAAAGGTATTATCTCATAGCAGCACAAGGTTCCTTAGTTTGTTTCCTTAGTCAACTTCAGGAATGAAAAACCCACAAATTTATACCATCTCTGCCAAAAAACTGTTATGTATTCTAAAAGAAAATAATATTCACGAACAAAAATTCTTCTTAAGTGTAGATAGTTTGTATAATTCTGGTATCCAATACTTAGAGCTGTGGAGAACCAGTTTTGATAAAGTTAGTAAATTTCACACAATTCATGAATTTACAAACTGAAATTGCCTGGTCTGATTTAGAAGAAAGCACACAAGCTATTAATGAAATTATAGAAGATTCTATAAATATTAATGACCTATTTGATAAACGTACATTGTTGAACCAGATAATTCAAAACCAAAGAGTAGCTTGTGATTCAGGGCCCTGAAAAAGTAACAGATACTAATGAACAGAAGTGGAAAGCAATTTTTAAGGTGTTTCAAAAGACTGACATTTCATGTTGCATTATTTATAAAATGGTTGATTTTGCAATGTCTTTGCCCAAGGCATCTGCTTTAGTTAAGAGAATTTTTTCAATTATGGGGAATATTTGGCCTGCACAAAGGGGTAGACTTTTGGTTTTTCTGTTAAACATTTCCTAAATGTTAAAATTAATTCAAAATTTTCTTCTAGTGAATTTTATGATTTAATTAGAACAAACAAACCAATTCTGATAAAAGTCATGTCTAGTGAAAAATGTACCTGAATAAATAAATGTAAGTAAACTGCTCAGACTTTGAAGTAATTTCAAAAATATGTCTTGGGTTGGACCTAAAAAAGCCTAGCTGTGTCCTCACTTTGAAGATGATCGAGTAGTTTTCCGTAAGCTTGGCCTCCTCACTTTTCGGTTTGGTTTAGTTCATTACAGCAAAGCACACGAGGGCTATCTGCCTATTAGGAAGGAGCTTTCGTGGAGGGCTTTCCACGGTAAAATGGCTTGTATACACATTACACATAAGGAATACCACGAAAATACCCATGCAGCCAGCCCGTTCACTGGGATTTGAACCTCGGACGGAACTACCAGTGTTCAGCGACTTTAACACTCGGCCACTGGTAAGCCCTTGTTCTTTCGGATTTCAAATCCATGATTTTAGTTGTAGGGATTCCTGAAACATCTTCTCTATAGTGGAAGCATATGGACGCCGCCTGAATTTAAAGTAAACATAGCACGTCATGTTGTTGCAATTTCTTAAGAAGCCCATCGTGCTATTGCTGAACATGCTATAAGGAGCTTATAACACGTGATTGACGCAGATGGATAGCACACTGGACAAATGTTGTGATTAAATAAAATTTTATGTTTCCAGTTAGTGTTTCTTGTTCTTTACGCGCTGCAATTTCACCTGAAAGTTGAAATATGAACTATTATTTTAGCACAGTTTTCTTTTCTAAATGGTCCATATAATGTGTATACCAAGTTTCAACAAACTACGTCCAATAGAACGGGTTACACGTGGGTCTGAGGTAGGTCACTTTAGTTACAACCACACTTTACCTTTCATATGATGGTATTCTTGGGTTCAAATCATCTTCACTGAGAGCATGGATTATTTTTGGAATGTAATTTTTCCAATAACAGAATTTCAAAATGCGATGGACACTTGAATTTTGAATTCCTGTGTCCCTACCCGGTTGCCATGAGGGTTTTTTCTCAGATTCATCAGCTATGTCTCCATCAACTCAGATTCATCAGCTCTGTCTGAAAAGATCTATTGCGATTTGCATTTTCAAACTTCAATACCATTTAATAAATTTAAGTTCTTCAAAATTTGATAGTGTTCCATTCATTACTTCAGATCTGTTGAACATGAAAAGGGCTGTAAGAAGCAATCGGAAAATTCATCGAATTTTCTGTAGTTAAACTAAGTAACTTTCAGCCCCAGGCTCCACAAAGGCTAAAAAACATTAAACATAGAAGATTCTCAAATAAAAATTTTTATCTTTACAGCATATATTCTACCAGGCAAGACGAGAGAATTCAGCATTCTAATACATAACTTTAAAGAATATTCTTATTAGTAAAACAATACACATATAAATTCAATCAATAATATATCATTGGTATTTATGTACAGCTAACGAGCGTATATTAAAATATTGAAAAAATATTTAACAACCAGACAATAACATTTCCCACCTGCTGATTATACACTATGTTTTTACATCATACTGAAAACAAATGCAAAATATGTGGCTATATAAAAAAATGACAAAAATTAGAACAGCATGTAGGATAAATAATCCTAAGTGTACCTTTTACGAATCCAGTTTGTCAGGAAATTTATATATCTACCTGATCCAGATATTTCGTTTTAAATTTCGGGACACTTCCCCTTCTCAATTGTGTCCTTATAGCCAACACAATTTACTTTTTCTTCTTTTAGGTTGTCATTAGTCAATGAAAGCTCTAAAAAGGACTATTGTAACACGTTAAATTGGACGAAGTAATTTTGAATGAGATGCTTGTATTTTTACAAGTCATTCCAGGAATTTTACATTCTATCCTTTCCAGGAATAAGTTTTGTTATTCGTCCCAGTGGCCAGTTAATTCTTTTATTGTTACCTGTTCCAATCAGTACTATAACTAATTCACTTATTTCAGCAGTATCTTTACTTTTTGCTCTTTGAAAGAGAAGCCCCATATATTCATTTCTGAATTACTTTCAACTCTTTTTGCAAATTTTGTCTAGATTTGAACCTTCGATTTAAGCACTGATGGTTGACAACATCAACATCCAATGTATTCTATCCCTTGATGTCTTGCAGGGAAAGGGAAGGAGATATAGGAACTAGTTGTTCGTCTTCATATTGGGTAGGTGAGAGGTTGAGAATTAATTAATAATTCACAGTCACAGAGGACTGTCAGCATTTCTTAATAAAGCAATTCTGCTGGACCTTGGACCCTCTTTATGAGGTCCTTCATCATTCGAATCAACCGCTCACACCAGCTTCCCCATTAGGCAGCAGACGGTGGGCTAAACTTCCAATCAATCACGTTCATAGTGCTATTTCGTACAATTTTATTCCAATCCAAAAAAAACAAAGATTAGCAGCACCAATAAAATTGGTGTCGTTGTTACAATAAGTAA